TCCTCTCCCCGGGCGATGCTTCTGCAGCCGGGGCTGCCCGCCGGGCCTGGAGCGCTCTCTGCGCCTGGACCTTGTAATTATGTCCCACAGCCCGGGAAACCGCGGGCCTCGCAGCATCTGGCTGCGGTTGCGAACTTTTGTTTCAAGATGCGCGACTATTTATAGAAGGAAAACTGGTAAGATAGTAATTTCCTAGGAGCTGGAGGAGAAATTGGCTGCGCCTCTATTAAAAGGGGGTGGGGGCGCGGCGATTTATTAGGACTGCGGCCGCGAGGAGGCGGGGGTGGCGCAGGGAGCGGGAAGACAGCGCCTGCCCCCTCTGGCCGCGTTAGGCGACCCCGGACGTGGCCCGCGTGTAAAGGAGGGGGAGGAGGAGGGGAGCAGGGGAGGGGAGGGAGAGCTAGCTCTGAGGTTTAATCAGTAGCATCCAGCTTAAATTCCCCCAAACGGCGGTTCCATAAATCAAACTTCTTTTTAAATCGGAGGCCAGAGCATATGCGTCCCATTAGGAATCGGGCGAAGCCACTGCTGCGCCGACGCGCCCCCTCGGCTCCCGGGCCCGGCCGGGCCCTGCCTGGAGCTTCCCGGAGCCCGGTGGGCGCTGCCCGTCCCGACGCACACGCGCGCCCACGCTCCGCGCGCTGCCTTGGCCCGGACCCCAGGGCGCACCTCGGCCAGCCGCACGCGCGCTGCGTGTCCCCCTCGCCCCAGGTGAGGAGTCACCCGTCGCTGGGTCTGGCCGCTCAGCGCGGCAGGAAGGCGCGGGAAGCCGCAGTCACCACCGAGGACGGCTTGGGCGCTGTCTGGCGGGGCGCAGCGGGCACGTGTGCGCCTGTGGGTACGCGGGGGAGCGGGTGCGTGCGTGCGGCTCTCTCGAGTGCGGCGCAGCCGTGCGGGCCTCGCGGACTTATAAAGGAGAGGGGCTATCCCGCTGGTCCAGGACTCGGGTGGGACGCGCAGGGAATCCCCGCGCCGCCGCGCGCGCTCCGGCCCTCGCGCTCCGTGCGCGCAGTCTGGTCCACCCCGGCGCTAGGGCCTCTCGCGGGCCCCGCTCTCTCTGACCCCACAGCCGTCATTTCTCACTGCTGCAGCCGCCCCCCAAGCCCTCCACCTCGGCGGCTCAGGCCGAGGAGACGACCCAAAGTCCCCGGGCTGCCGAGCGCGTCGGGCACCCGGTGCCCCGCCCAGAGACTCCGCTGCCGAGCTTCCTGCCCGTCCGGCTCCAGCGCTGGAGGCCGAAGACGGGGCTCTCCCCACCCCGCCCACCCCGCGTGCGGCCCGCGGCACTCACAGGTAGCTGCCGCTGGACAGGATCAGAAAGATCTGCGGGCAATACACGGAGAGGAGCGCGCCGCGCGGAGACAGCAGGAGCATGGTGGGCCGGCGCTCCTGGAAGGGCTCGGCGGGCCCCGCGGGCGGCGCGCCTGGGCCAGCTGAGGCCGGGGTCTCCGCGGCCCTCCCCGAGGTGGGGCGGCGACACCAGGCGCTAGGCACCAGGGCGCGCGGGCCCCGGCGCAGGATTCGTCCGTGCCCCGCCGCCAGGGCCGAGCATCGCGTTGCAGCTGGGGCTGGGACGGCGGCGGGCGCTGGGGCTGGAGCGCGGGACCGGGGGACCGGCAAGTGGGTAGCGGGTGCGCCTCGGCGGCCGTCTAGCCCTCCGTCCGTCGATCGGTCGGAACCGGCTCTGTCGCTCGCTCTGGCTCAAGTCTCCAAGTCTCTCGAGGCGCGCAGCTGCCATTGGACGGGCCGCCCCTACATCCGCCTCCTCTGCGGGCGGGTTTTTTAAAGGGGAGGCTGACCGGAGAGTGCGACAGAGCTGCCCCTGTTGGCTGCTAAATCGTTTAGGTGCTCGGCCCCTCCTCCCCGCCCAACTTCGGCGAACCGCACAGCTCTGGCCGGTTCTGGAAGGTGCACCTGGGGGGGGGGGGGGAGGCACCAGCGGGATAACCGCGCGAGGGCGTGCGCTCCTCTTGGGGGGCTGTGCTCGGCAATCTGTTCTCCTGTTCGCATACATGTCCCTGCATGTGCCTGTGTGTGCCCGCGGGAGCGTGGGCGCGTCTGAGGGCGCAGGTGTGTGCTCACAGATGCGCTGTGTGCGCTGTACCTCTGCCCGCGCGCGCCCCTGGCTTTGGTTAGGCTGGTCGTGAGTCGCTGGCTCTCAGGCTAACCCACCAGGCCCAGCCAGGCAGGGCTCACCTGTGCACATGCGCACTGGTGTTTCTGTAGGGTCCCGCCTCGGCGCCTCTTGGGAGGGGCTGAGAGCGAAGAAGGCACCCCTCGTTGGTGCACAGAGGCCCCCAGCTCTGGCTTCCCCATCTCGCTTCTTTCGCTTTCTTTGGAAGGGTTGGTTGGAATAGGTATCGGGAGAAGCAGATCCGCAAGGATACACTTTCTAAACAATCCTCCTTCTTCCAGTGAGTTTTGTTTTAAAGGCCAGAAACTCACCTCCTGTTTGGAGGTTTTGAGTCCCACCTCCTATTGTCTGCCAAGCCTGGCTACATATGAGTGATCTTCTGGATGCAGTGTAGACCCCCCATCAGCTGGGGCGAAAGCACCAGGCAGGGGAGGGGACAAGAAAAGAGAGGTCTGTGTGATATGGCCAAGGACCCCGGGCTTCTAGACCTGGCATGGAGATTCACCCCCGGCAGGCATCCAGAAGGAGGGGGCTGCCTCCTTCACCTCTTTCCACTGGGCCCCTCCCGCAGGGGGAGGAGGCAGGAACGGAGCTGGGCTGATCCTGGGACTTCCTGTGACCCCACTTTCAGTGGGCAGAGGGGTGCCCAGATTCCAACGGCTTGTCCCTGCCCCGGCTTGGCCTCCTCCAAGGGCTGCCGCTTGGAGCGGGCTCGGCCCCAGGGTGAGGAACCGTGACTCCCCAAAGCCGTTTGTTTCGAAATTGCTGAAAATCCAAGACAGAACTCCTCTTGGGGCCCAGATCCCCAAAGGGATTGTGAGGCCTGAGTTCTCCATTTCTGCTGGCCTGAACCCCCCCTGCCCCCCGGGGGCTGCACGTCAATGCGTGTGCCCGAGTGGGAGAGGTTCCCAGTATACATCAAACACACACACACACACACACAGGAGTGGGCGGGGGGGGGGGG